GGAAAAAAAAAAAATCTGCTGTCTAGCTTGTTCCAGATAATCAGCAGCACTTAATATGCCCTCATTTGAATATGAAATTTCATCACCGAGTGTAATTATTAAAGCATCTGTAGAGCTGAGGGGGGCTGGAGGGGTCCCTATTCATTCAGAAGAGTGGAAATCATAGCGAACGTCTCCCACTTCTCTCCAACAGGCAGTGTGTACTCAGGAGATCAATACCTAGCACTCAGCTGACATGGGTTAAGTTCACTCTTCAGGGACAAACTCAGGCCCCAGCCCTGCAAACACACATGCGTGAGTAACTTGATGCCTGGGAGTATGCAGTTACAGGCTGGAATGCTAATGCTGATCAACAACATAATCATTAACCAGAGCTCTGGGGAGACACAGCAAAGTGCTGACGTGGAGCTAGGTCGCTCAGTCAGGCACCTGCCCGTACTGGATGGTGCGGCAGATAATAATAATAATAATTAATAATTAATCCTCCCCATCAGTGTGCCATCTATCCATGATACCTATCAGACTTGTACTGTATCATCTGAGCCCCTCACAACACCCCTGCGAGGCAGGGAACTACTATTACACCTGTTTCAGCATTGGGGAACAGAGAGGCTAAGTGACTTGCCCAAGGCTACTGAGGAGGCCTGAAGTGAAGCAAGGATTTGAACCCAGGCCTTGCACAGTACCCTAACTCCTGGACCATCCTTCCTCCCACCTCACTGCAGAGTCCCAGGAAGCAAAAGGGGAATGTGTGTGATGTATCATCTCCAGAGTGGCCAGCTGGCTGGTGCAGTGGGATCCTCCTCACCTGTGCTCATGCCTCTGGAAGTGCTGTGTTTGGTGACTGTGCCTGGCCCTTGAGCAGGGGTAGGGGGCTCAGGAGAGGAGAATGAAATGGGAGTGGACTTGTGGCTAAGGACTCCTCCCAGAAGAGGAATTCCCTGTCGCACTCACAGCTTTTTCTGAGCCCCAGCAAAGCCCGTGAAGAGTTAATCAGAGTCATTAACAGTGCCAGGTGGTAAAATCAAAGACAACAGATGATGCAAGACTCATAGGGCCAGGCATACAGGTTGTCATACTTCATCTTTAGCCACTGCGCAGTGCCACTGCTGCAATCCTCTTTCACTTGTGTTTGCACGCAAAAACCACTTGAATTCAGAGAGGAGCAGAAAGAATAGGAAGGGGTTGGATGGACTGATTCACGAGCAAAGGTAAAAGCACTAAACGGGCCTAATTCTCTTCTCTCATCACTAGTGAAGCTCCGTTGGCTACAAATAACATCTGTGATTTAGAATCTTGAACAATAATTTCTGTCAATGAAATTTTAACTTGACCTAACATTCTAATAGGTTTCCGTTGCAGGAGATGTGATATGTTCAGTGGAACTTCTCCACTTTGGACTGCCCCCAGTTCAGCAGCGTGTCCAGCCAAATGCAGACACCAATGTTTGCAATAAAACTCCCGTTGAGTTCAGTGGGCTCATGATTTGGCCTTACACCCTCTAAACTGCAACACAAGAAGGTGAGCAAGAAACCAGCACCAAAAACGTGTCGTAGAATTAGGAACACAGGAACTGCCAGACTGGATCAGAACCGAGGTCCGTCTAGTCATGTATTCTGTCTCAAACCATGGCCAGCGCTAGATGCTTCAGAGGCATAAAAACCCTGCAACAGGCAGATGTGGGATAATCTGCCTCCCATATTAGGTCTGATAGAGGTTGACTAAAACCTGGAGCATGATAACAAGCAATTTAGGAGGGATATTAAATCTCATGAATTATGTTCTTGATATTCTTGTTATCCATACAAATGTCCAGTCCCTTTTTTGAATCTTTGCACGGTGGCTTCGTGTGGTAATTAGTGCCACAGTCCAATTTTCCTTGTGGGGAAAAGTAGTTCCTTGAGTTGTTTTTGAACTTGCCATCTTTTAATTTAGTTGAACGTCCCCTTGTTCTTGTTCAACACCAGGCAAAAATACATTCACAGGCATAGCACCAGTCAGTTCGCTGCAGCGATAGCTATTTTTCGCATCAGCACCTCTCTGGTGAGTCAGCATGTTCGTCATTTGCATCGCTGGATTCCATCTGCATTCAAACCATGCACCGTCCGGAGAACGTCACCGTGCTGCTGGCTGTCAAAATCATGCAGTTCACCCAAGCCAGCTTGACGTGGCTCTGCCATCTTTGAGACACTGCCCGAGGCATCCCTTTGAGGAAGCTTTGTGGTGCATCAGAATGTGGCCAGTTTTGGCACCTCTTGCAGAATGTTCTCTGCATTCCTGAAGGACATCATAGCATGGATTACATGGGCTTGTTTTCATGGTGCATTGGCAAAAAGAGACATGATTTGCTAGCTAGTAAAACAACAGGGGAGGGACAGATTGTAAGGTCTTACGGGCAGGGACTGCCTTTTTATTGTCTGTTTGTACAGTGCCTAGCACAATAGGGTCCTGTCCATGACTAGGGCTCAGGTACTACCACAGTTCAAATATTAATAATCAATAATAAATCCTTAGGTTTTGTCACACAGAATATTCACCTTTGTGTGCTGACTCACTAGTGAATACGGAGGCATCCGAGCTCCAAAAGAAGCATTAGCAGACAAACTAGCATTACACCTCCTACACATTCTGCAACAATGTCCCAAAAGGCTTTAGTACTAGCACTGTACTATCTGCTGTTTTGGGACAGGGGCCATAGCTGCAAAACATGGTGAGGGTTTAGCAACTCTGAAAAGGAGGCCACCAAGTATTAAAATATTGGCCTAGGCACTTAGACACTGTAGGGAATAAAGATCTCTCTGGCAGGCTGCAGAGCATTGGCTAAGCAGCCATTTAGAGTATGCAAGTGCTAGGTAGGCAAAATATAAACTGCAGAGGGAAAGTTTTGCCTGCAGAGTATAGTCACTGGAGGTTTAAAATTCTCTTCCCAGAACAATTCTCCTCAGAAGATTTGCCCTCGTGATGGGCCAGGGCCACAAAGTTGGAATCCATGGCGACGCATCCCCCAACGTTCAGATGCAGAGTTTGGGTTCTGCCCCCAATAGCATCCTGAGCCACATCGTTCGGATCTGGCTCTGACCTTTCCTAAGTGTTGCCAGTGTTCAAACCCAGGAGTTTGCTCTGGGCCCGTCTCTGGCTGTTACATAATCTTTGCAGGGTTGTAACCCAGAAAGTCATTCCATTTGCATTTCAACATCGCTGCAGCATCCCGCTCAAGGGTGGAGGGCTTGGGCGTCATAAGCGACTGAAATAAAAACTAGCACAGAGAAAGCCTGTTCCAAGGTGGAATCCTCCACTAGCCCCTCGGCAAGAGGGGCCAGACCAGGACAGCCTGCCCCCTGCTTGCCCCATTTGTAGCAGTAGCAATGGGGATACATACCCCAAGACACCCTTGCAGTAGCCACGCCTGAGATAGCCCCATATACTGAGACTCCCCCTACTGCAGCAGCCAGGACACACACAACCCCAAGAGGGACATAGGAAATCCCCACCTACTGGAGGGGTTGGGGCTAAGACCTCCCAGTCCCCCTCTCTCCCCTCCAACAGCAGAGGGGCCGCCCTTTACAAAGGTGGATCTCCCCTAGGAAGATCCCCTTCACCAGCAGCAGGGATTCTGCCCTCCCCAGTGCCAGAGATGAGACAATCCCATACATCCCCCTCACCAGCACCAGAGCCCCTCCTCAAAGACCCTCCCCTGTAGCAGCGTCTGAGACAGACCCCTTACAAGAGATGGGGGGGGTCTCCTCAGGGCCTCCCTGCAGCAGACGGCGGACACACCTCCCCACTGCCCAGGACCCCGGCAGGCGCTGGAAGACCCCCACACTGCAAAGAGTTCCAGTGCAATCGCTGGGGTGCTGCGCCTCTGGGACTCCCCCCTCCCTATAGCCGGGGCACCACCAACCCCAACGCCGCCCCTCACTCCCAGGACAGCAGCTGGGACATCTCTCCCAATGCAAAAGCTGGGGCCTGTCCCCTCCCATCCCCTCTCCTCCCCCCCAAGTGCAGCAGCTGGGATTTAAGTCACCAGCATCTATGAGCTCCTCCTAAACAGTGGCTCTCCCTAGCGACCCCTCCCCAGTAGAGCAGCAGCGAGGATGCCCCCCTCCCACCCTACCGCAGCAGCTGGGATTTCCCCTCCCAGGGCAGCCATGGGGGGAGGGGGGGACTCCCAAGTCCCCTTCACCAGCCTCAAGGACGCTCCCACCCCCAGGGCAGCAGCTGGGACCCCTCACCAGCATCTCCTGCTAAAACTTGGATTCCCCCCTCCCCCCTCCGGAGCACCCATCCCCCCCCCCGGGCTCCCACTGCCGCCCCCCACTCACCAGCGCACCAGCTCCCATCGCTTCTCCCCCGGCGCTTTGCGGCATGCCATGCCCCCCCCTCGTCCTGGGGGTGCTGCTAGGGGCCGCGCCTCAAGCCAGGGGCGAGCGGAGGGTGTGTGTATTCGCAGCGGCAGCAGCGCTAGCCCCTGAATTGGTGCATTGAAGGCAGCAAACTGCTGAGGGATCCTAGATTTCCACCCAAAGGCCGGCAGGAGCCGAGCAGGATTTTCGGGGGGAGGCCAGAGTCCGCGCGCTGAGCAGCCCCGGGTCCCGAACGCTCACAGGACGCGCCCCCCAAAACCGCTGGAGTCTCTCGCTCCAGCTCCTGCTGGGAGGATGGTTTCTGGGCGGCCGGATCCGGTTGCTTGGCCCCTGCTGCCAGCAGCTCATTCCCTGGGGACCTCAACCTCCCCGGCCCTGGGAGCTGGGACAGCCCCACGCGTCTGAATCAGCAGCAGAACTTGCCCCAAAGTTTGGGGCTATGTGGATGCCGGGGTGGGGGCTTAGTCCAGGCTAACCTCGAGCTCAGACTGTTCTTGTACTAAGTGTCTGAGAGTTTAGTGCTGGACAAGGGTAGGGGACTGAAATGATTCTGTTTTGTTTACTGCAATAGTACCTGGGGGCTGACAAAAAACAGAGCCCCTTCGTGCTAGGCGCTGTACAAACAGAAAACAGTAGGCAGCTCCAGCCCTGAAGAGCTTACAAGACAGACAGACACAGGGTAGGGGAACGGGTGTAACAAGCCGAATGAACAATATGATGGCAGCAAAGGGCACTGGGTGGGAGGAAATTAGTAAGGAAGGGATGGAAAGAAAAGTGAAGGGAGAGGGGACACTGAAGGGAAGGGGGGGACAGGACAGGGGAAGTCTGTCCACAAAACAGGGACATTACGGACCATAGCGCCTCCCTCCATCCTAACCTGGAGGGAACCACTTCTAGAAGTGGGTGCATAGGTCTGTCTCCATTCCTTCCTTGAGCTCTCTGCCAAAACCACCCTAAAAGGTGCCAGATTAGTCCCACAGCTAATAGGAATTTCTGTGGTATGGATGACGGTTGACCGAGAACTGAGCTGAGACCATAAAACTCATTTCACACAGAGCACAGTCCTAAATCGTTCAAAGCTGATGTTATTCTCAATGCACTTGGGGAAAGAGACAGATTAAATCAAATGAATTGCACAATTATCCTTTCTGTCAGCATATATTTACATACACCTAATTAGTTAGATTTTCTACTTTACTTATGGCATTGGGCTTGCAAAAAACAACAGTAGAACCCCTTCAAAATAACGTTACTGATTTAAGCCTCTGGGTGCTTCAAAAATCTATCTAGAGCTTTTTAAAAGAATACAGATATGGATTTTTCTGCAGTGAAATATTTTACAGACATTTTCAGAACCTGCACATTTAACCCTTTGTTTCTGCACTATTGAGAACTATGATTTCATTGTCTTATGAAAAGCTGTAGTATTTTTTTATTTTTAGATGCTCCTTTCATGTAGCTGATATTTGGAAAATGCCAGCTTTCCAAAGTTAGGCAATTCCTTTGTGAACATTTTGTGCATGTCTATCTTATGCCAGGTTTCAGAGTAGCAGCCGTGTTAGTCTGTATCCGCAAAAAGAACAGGAGTACTTGTGGCACCTTAGAGACTAACAAATTTATTAGAGCATAAGCTTTCGTGGGCTACAGCCCACTTCTTCAGATGCATCTTATGCGTCCCCCCAAATACCCAGTTTGCAAGGCCACATCAGGTATTACATGAATAGGTGAGGTGCACATAAAGGTATTGTAATTTTATGGTCATATCCCTCAGATTTTAGAATTAACTATACTGAGAAGCTTATGTCCCCACAACATACAGAATTTGTTTCTATTCTTCATTTTGTCCATTTAAAAAGAAAAAATCTCTCAAAACACCACTCTATTCTGTACACACAATTCTCTCCAGGGAAGAGGCTGAGGGAGAAAATGAACCACGTGACAGTCAGATGAGAATCATGTTGTTTAATGCACAAGGGAAGGTGCTCAGATACTGCAGTGATGAAGGCAATATAAGAAACGATATCAAACAGAATTCTAATACATAGGAAAAATACCTACAAACTAAGTGCCTGGTCCAAAGCATATTGAAGTCAGTGGAAAGATGCCCAACGAGCTTTGGATCATGCTTAGTGTTTGGAGCCTAGTCCTTAGGAAGTCATATGCAAGACACTGTATTTCACGGGCAAAGGGACCTACATTCCATGGCAAACGCCCTGGATCCATGCAACAGAACAGCAATTTTGCAGCAGCTTCATTTAAATCAAACATCTATCTTTCATCTATCTTTTCTATGGCCCATGTTACCATATTATCTCAGCACCTGACAACCATTAACCTATTTATCCCTCCTAACACCTCTGGGGGGGCAGAGAAGTACTCTTATGTTCACTTTACAAAAGGGAAAGGGAGGCACAGAGAGACCACGTGACTTGCTCAAGCTCACACTGGAGGAAGTCTGTGGGGAGCAGGGACTTGAACGTTTTCTGCCTGATGCTGTTTTCTGTACTGCGATAACACAGCTGCATGGTGAAAGTTGGCCGGAGGTAGAGTCAGCTGATAGTTGGAGCTTTTGACACTTGACAAGGCATGGGAAACAGTTGGGACCAAGTGCATCAGCTGGATATTTTGAAAGCAATTATCAGCCAGCAGTTGTTGACACCTGAATTGTCAATTAGGGTTCCAGGTTAACAGCCCTTTGAGCGAATGGGTTCCTACCTCACAGAGACTATTGATTCAAGACAGCAACACTGCCTCCAGATCATGTTTTCAAGGTCCCCTTCACAATTAAGAGGATATAAAAACAAAGGCTGCCAATTTTGCAAAGATGTGGGCACATGCTTAACTTCATGGGTTATGAGTAGTTTCAGTGGAAGCAATGTGACTACTCAAGTAGATCAAGCTAAGCATGCACATAGGTCTTTGCAGGATCAGGACCTTCCTTCTGAATAAAAGAAGGAGAAAAGAGCTTGGAATAGGAGATGAAGGATGGATTCCATGGCAAATTCTGTGGTAGAATACACAGAGGATCAATCATACGTGCCCTTCAAAGATATGTTTCCCATACAATTCAATGTACACAATCCTTCAGTTAGATCCATTTATTGATATTGATTTTATAAGGCCTCTATGCACTTTTTTCCTGTTTACATTTTATCAGAAATGCTTATACTATTTGGCGGATGTATTTTCTGGCAGCTTAATGTCCACACACACAAAAAAATGCATGATTTTTTTATTCATAAAAGCTATCACCCAAGATTGGGATCTCATCGCAGTAATCATCCATCATCAAGAAGTGCCCTTGTCACACACCCATTATAAATTCACAAGCCAAAACAGAGGACTCGATACTGCCAAGTGATGAGACCATGCTTTCTGCTCCAGTTTCCATCTAAAAAATAAAATGCTATACAATGTACAGAAATGCTTTTATTATTATGCAGTAAGTGACCAATCCTCAAGATGTAAGCAAAACTCACATGGATGATTATAAGCTTTTCAAGGTAGGGGCTGTCTCTTTGTACATAGATGTACCACACATGGCGTAGAAGAAGAGTTCCAATCTTGGTTAAGGCCTATAGGATCAACTGGCATACAAAGGTGGCCAGGATGCTAGAGTGGGTCTCAAGAAATGTAGGTTCCATTCCCTGCTCTACCGCAGGCTTCCTGGGTGACCTTGGAGAAGTAGGTAGATGCCTAAATCCCATTGAAATCAACAGGAGTTAGGTGCTTTGAAGATCCGTGTCTCAAGTACTCATCTGTAGATATAAAAGATAATAGTACTTCCCTACATCACAGGGGTATTCGTTGAGAGGATAAATAAATTACAGATAGGTTTGGGAAGGATTTGATTTTTATTGGTAAATGTCAGTAGACCATTACACACAAAATGATGAAAAAGTGTTTCCACCGATAATTATCGAAATTTACAGATAGGCAAAGTGAGAAAACTGCTGCTTGCAAACAGAGTTTGATTTAAAGATATTTACTTTCTATATTTTGACATACGACGTTGACAAGTTGTGTTTTAATGGCTATGATGCTTTAACTTTTTGAATCTCAACATCTACGGTCATTAAATTAATTATTGTCTGGCATCCCTCTTGTCCGACACCCCCCATTGTGAAAATTTAAATCAATAAAATGCTTACAACCCATACATTTTCAGAGTTGTGCAAAATTATGACAGTTTTTAAAAAAATCCTTTAAAATAAACATGGATATTATCCACTGAAATTATAAAAAAAATAAAAATCAAATTCTGCCAAGCCTAATTATAGAGTGTGTGGTGCTCAGATGGGGATCAAATAAATACACGTGATAGAAAGAAACAGCAATAAAGTGTTTTGCATGAATCTGGTGAGACTCATTGATATTAAGGCCCATTTACATCACCCCAGCAGGGTAAAGGCAAAATAAAGTGAGCATAAATTACATTGACTCCCACTTTCTGCCAGAATACTGCAACTGGATCTATACAGGTGGGATCTGTGTCAGCAAAGAGCATCACTGATTTCAATGGGCCACAAGAATCTGCCTGCATGCATCTCCCTGCAAGACCAGGACCGCTTCAGGATTCTGCCTGTTATTTATTTTCCAAAGCTAGGTGCGTTTAACCTTTGCAAAATATGGTCATGCCACCACAACCACTGAGCAACATTGCTTAGGCTAAATTCATCTGTCCTCTTGTGAGCGTGCAGAGCGGGATCTCTTTGAAGGCTGACAAATTGCATTCCTTAGCTGGAGCAAATATCCTTGAGTCTCTGATATTTTTAAATCCCCATGGTAATATTAAGCTAATGTTCAATTTATCAAAACCCTCTAGCTTTCAGTCCTGCACCATTTAAAGGAGTTTCTTAGGAGGTTCTTCACAGCAATTAGAAGACCAGACACCTCAATAAGGCTGAGAAATAGCATTTAAGGCAAAATTAAAGTCAAATTAAATTATATTAAAGCAGAAATTGCCCTAAACACTAGTTTTGGGAGATGAAGGGAACTAAATACATAT